AATTTATTTTTAATTTTAATTTATTTTTATGTTTTAAATTTATATTTATATTTTAGTGAAAATACAAGTAAATGGCATAAAAAGAAACAGATAGATTCATGGCATCAAGCACAGAATAGTAACACTATTCAAGAAAAGAGCAAGTTTAAAACTTGGAAAGATGAATCAAATGAAGGAAAACTACATGAAAATAGAAATGAAAAAAGTAATTTTCATCGTAACGACTCACGAAGTGAAAGATTTAATAGAGATGACTTTTCTAACAATAGGAGTAACACAAAAGATAAATGGAGTAACAAAAACGAATATAATGATTCATTTAAAAGTGGAAAAGGTACGAGAGGTGGCAGAAATAAAACATCAGGATTCACACCTAAAAGTCATTCTTCTGATAAAAGTTGGAGTGACAAAGATTCTGATACATCATCTAGAGGTAGTAGTAGACGTGGAAGAGGTAGCGCTACTCGTGGTGGTTACTCTAGACGTGAAGGAATTTCTGGAAGAGTGCAAAGTAATAAATTCAGTGACAGAGATAGTGATGGGAGTTTTAAAGGTGGAAGAGTAAATAGTAAGTTCTTTATAGATTTTTATAACAAATTTCAAATGAAATTTGAAAAATGTTCTACTTAAGTATTTTTATTGGTTTGACACATTTAAAAAGTATGCTAATTATTCATAGGTGATTCTTATCATGGAAATAACAGATTCAGAGAAAGAAAAGGACAAGGATATAGGCTTACACAAAACAGGGTAAAGTGTACTCACATTATATTCGTGTTTCGTTTTACTTAATTATAAATTATGTTATTGTACAATATCTTTTTTAAATAGATTTTTTCGCATTGCATCATAACGAAATTAATATTACACGTATAGTTAAATTCTACGTATTCTATTAATAGTTTGTAATTTGCAAAATACTAATTTTTATTATTTATACTCATATTAATCATGAAGGACTACTTTTATAGTCAATGATTGAATTATTTTTTATTTTAGTTAAATACCATAAATTCTACCTCCGATGGAGAACCTCGGAGATATAGTCCTATGAGAAATAGAAATGAATTTCATATTCCATTTCCGAATATAACAATTGGAGCCGTAAAAACTTGTGAAGTAGTTTTTACAAATAGTCTGTCTGACTTTTTTGTACAGTTAACTCCTGATTATGCCGCCTTAGATACTGTAATGGAAAACATAGCTTCAATATATGAGAGTGGAGGAGAGTCCATGAAGGAATCCGAAATATTATGCGGAGTGTACTGTATTGCTCAATATTCAGAAGATCTGAAATGGTATAGAGCCATAATCACATTTGTTGAAGGAAATAGTGCAACCGTACAATTTGTAGATTACGGCAATACCGAAACAATTGAATTTAATAAAATTAAATCTATTCAAAAAGAATTTTTGAAACTTCCAGTACAAGCTGTGCATTGCAAATTATTCGGTATTAGATCTGATATTGTTGACAAAAATAAAATTAAAAATTTTGAAGATACAGTTACTGGAAAAACACTAGAAGTAGAGTTTGTAATTGAAGAAAATGGTATATATAGCGTTTTATTAAAAGAAATTATTGATGGTGTTCCAACAAATACCTTTATAAATGAAGAATTTTGCGAAAATAACGATTTATTAAAAGCAAAAGAAGATGCAATATCAAATAGAGCAATTGCCTCCAATACAAAACAGTTAGTTGAACCCAACTATGCATCCTTACATGATAAATGGACAACAAATTCATACATACCTGGAACTAAAAAAGATGTGATTGTTACATGGTTTACTAATCCCAATAATTTTTATTGTCAAATACTTGATAATGAATCTGAATTTAGAACTATGATGAATGAAATTCAAAAAATATATGTTGGCAGAGAACCAATTTCACGCATGTTACAGGTAATAGCTTAATTTAAATAATTACTTCCAAGTTTTTGTATTTTAATTAAGGTGTGATAAATAGATTTTCACCAATTAATTTTAGGTTGGATCTCCTGTAATAGCAATATTTTCTGATGATGGAGCTCTTTATCGTGCAGAAATTATTGAGCTGAATGAATTAAATGGTCATCTGGTTCAATATATAGATTTTGGAAACAATGCTGTGGTTAATCCTCAAAAAATTTATCCAGTAGAAAAAAAATTAATGCATCTTGCTAAACAAGCTGTTCAATGTTCCTTGTTAAATATTATCCCACAGGGTGAACTTAATTGGTCTAATGTAAACAAAGAAGCAATTGATAACTGTTTCAATGCTGATAAATACGAATGTATTTTCCACGATGTAAAAGATGATAAATATTTAATAGAATTGTTTAATAATGGAAACGATGTTGCTAATACATTAGTTGAAAGAAATCTTGCATCATTTAATTCAGAAACTAAATCAAATGCTACAATTGAAGGTAAAATAGTATTTTATTTTATGTATAATTGCTTTAACTAATTCTTAAAAATGTATTATTGGTAATATTTACATACTTTAAAATTTTTTCCTAAATTTAAGCAGTAACAATTTATAAATAAAAAGGCACAATAATTGGTTTTTTTTTTTCAATAGCTTTCTTATACAATAAATCAGTCGTTCTTGTGATTTTACATATGAAACTATTATAGTAGAGTTACTAAAAGTTAAGTCATTTATGAGATAACTATTTGGCATAATATTGAATTTGTTATAATAACAAAAATTTGACTTTAAAAAAATTGCGCAAAACGTAATTTCTACTTGTTCTCTACAAGTTTTCTTTATTTGTGCTCAGGAAAAAAATATAATACTATTCCGGTTTTTGGAAAAAAATTGAATTGTATAAAATATTTACATAAGTATGTTACTAATAAAAATGTAATATAAAAAATTATTAATACTTGAATCAACAATCAAGAAACATGTAATGTG